GCCTTCCAAAAACTAAGCAATTTATTTAGAAATAGGAAAATTTTTATTAGAAATAAAGGAAAGAGTACTGATCTGTTATGTAATATATATATATATATATATATATATATATATATATATATATATATGTGTGTCAGTGAATCCTGAGCAATCTCCTCACAAATGAAGAAGAAACTTGAGGTAATAGAAATTTAGTTCTACAGAAGGATGCTGAGAATACTATGGACTGAACATGAGAGCAGCAGAAAAGTTTTAGAGGAAATGGGAAAAGAACACCTACTTCAGAAAGAGAGAGTTGTAATTTCTAGGACGCATAATGAAAAAAGGAGGTTTAGGAAATTTGACACTCACAATGTTATGTGCAAATGGTTGTGCAAATGATTGGCTGAACAGAGATTAGGGGAGAGAGCAAAAAGACTAAATTTCCTAAGAGCTACAAAAGACAGGAAATTGTGGAGAGCCATGCTTGCCTACATCCTGAAGGGACATGGTGCACAAAAGAATAATGACACTATGAAAAACATTTAGCAATATAAATTATAAATTAAAACTTGTAAAAATGATTTAATATCATTCTGTTCGGAAACAAAACCAATTCTGAATTCAATGTTTGGTTAAGAAAACATTTGTTCCGTTTTTCTCTCTGATTTATAATTCTTTGACTGCTAATGTTTTCGACATTAGATATAAAAGATTCGTTTTTTTTTCTTTGGTGCCTTTGTTTGATTTTTATCGTCTGCTTTAGTGAAAGATAAAAGCAAAAAAACCTAAATGATTTCTGATTCAAAGATTTATTGAATCAATAACAATGTGCCAAAAATTAATATTGGTTGTTGTATTGTTTAACTTTCCTTGAAACAAACAAAAAGTCGGTTTATGCCATTAAACAAAATGCAAATCAACAGATAATAATATTGTTTTTAAACAATCGCTTATTTGAGAAAAAGAATTTTACTTCTTTGTCCATTTCATTTTCTGATTTTATTTCCTTTTTATGACATACATAAGAATTTATACATACATATATACAGATATATATATATATATGTATATGTTTATGTATATATATATATATATATATATATATATATATATATGTATGTGTGTGTATATATATATATATATATATATATATATAAAGAAATCTATATTCCCTAAAGTAGTGTAATGTAGTTCCAAGTAAGAGTGTTAATATAATACAAGCAGTTTCAAAAAGAACAATTATGGGCAAAGTCTTTAAGGAAGAGATTAAATCCGCAATAAATGCCAATTTCCAATACTGAAATCAGGAATTCTTCCCAACTTGGAAAATGGTCCACTGCAAATGACTAATTTTTTTTCCCGCTTGTTATTGAGTCAAGAGTCAATAGAACCAGGTTGTGTCAGGAACACATATTGATTTAAGGTTTGGCAACAAAAGCAGTCTCTTTGATTCTTTGCCATTTCATGATAAATAGCGTCTTTTTTCGGTCTTTTTTTTCATCACTTTCTTCTCCATTTTTTTTTATATATGTTTTCCAAGAGATAATAATAATTTCTCTTGTTTGTTTAGTTAGAGTCCATTTGGTGAGACTGTTGCAATATACGTTTTCGATGTCAAATAATTGGCATTTGGTGCAGTTTCATAAAGCAATGTTGGTGGAGGGTGTGTTGGAAGAAGCAAGGGGCACACAATCAAAAAGAACGGAGGGAGCCGTGGAATACAAAGAGAGAAGAATTGACATGTGAGAATCATAGGGAAGTACAAATATTTCTTTTGAAATAAAAATGTAACCAATAAAAGGAAAATCACAAACCGCGAGATGGAAACTTTTAGTTTCATCTTCTGACTTATATCTGAACAAAAATCATTATATATGCACTAATATATATCAGTAAAATGTTAAAAAAAAACCAGCATAATGGATATAAAATAAAACAAAATACAGACAGGTAGAGATAGATAGATAGATAGATAGATAGATAGATAGATAGATATTAACCAAATTAGATCAACAAATATGAACAGAATGAGATAGATATGAACAGTCTGAAATAGATAGATAGATAGATAGATCGATAGATAGATAGATAGATAGATAGATAGAAGTAACAAAAAGAAAAAGAATGGAGGGAAAAAAACAAAGTGATAGATAGAAATCATAGATAGAATCATAGATAGATATATATATACTGAGATAGATAGATAGATAGATAGATAGATAGATAGATAGATAGATAGATATAAATAGTTTGAAATACATAGATAGATAAATATGGATAGATTAAGATAGATAGATAGATAGATAGATAGATAGACATGAATAGACTGAGATAGATAGATAGATAGATAGATAGATAGAAATAGACTGAGACAGAAAGAAAGGAAGAAAGAAAGAAAGAAAGAAATGGATAGATAGATCGATAGATAGATAGAAGAAACAAAAAATGAATGGAGAAAAAATAGAAAGAGATAGATAAATAGACAGATAGATATGAATAGAATTAGATAGATAGATAATTACTCAATGCAAAGAAATAAATTGGCAGAGAAAGAAATTTTACTTTGAGACAGAGTATGAACAAAGAAAGATAATTAAAGAAAATATTGTAAGTAGATGCAAAAAGATATTTGCATAAATTGGATACGCACACACATACGTATATATATATTATTCTGACACCAATCTTTCTTTTTTACATGTGTCATTGAATGTTTTCCTTTTGGGAGGAGAGTAAGAGATCACTGTTAGATTGGCTGACCTTTTAGATCTTGCTCTTGCTTCTTAAAGATGATTCAGACAAGCAGATTGAAAATTGCTGAGTCCACTAAAACACGTTGATCTCCATTCTACCCGCTCCAAAGCTAACCGCTCAAGGGTGATATGTGATATATTAACAGCTGATATGGAATCATACCTCTGCCAAGGATATTAGCACATAAGTGAATGTAATGGAAATGACTGGAATTCAAACTCTCCAGTTCCTGAATCTGAGCCACTATCCATTACTACACTGTGTATCTTTCTTCCCTGCCAGCCATATTCAAATAGCAGGACACAGACTGAATCCTATAGCCTTGGGTGGTGACTGGTCTAGAAGGACAACTCTGAATTCAAAATCTGCGGAGTGTCGTTTGGGGACCTTGTGGCATACTGTTAAGCAGTTCTCTTTATTCAGCTCTCCCAGAAAGTGTGGTTGGTTCTGCACAAGGCTCCACCTCTATAATCAAATGATAGGTGCAGGTAATCTGGCTGTTGGTTATAAGAACTGAGGTTCTTGACCCTCATACATCGAAAACAACAGGAGAGTCTATTCCAGTATATATATATACTAGCAGTAGAGCCCAGCGTTGCCCGGGGATGTAACAGTAAGAGATAGATCAAGTATCGACCATCATAAAGACTGAAAAATAAAATTGACAAAGATTATTGTTTAAGCTTGACGGACACGCATGTCTTAATTAGTTGTTTTTTGTTTTGTTTTGTTTTAATTTTTTTTTTTTACGAATTGGTCAAACCCAAACTCAAACAAAAACATTGTTTTCAATCATTATGAGTCTACCGATTGAATAGAATTTTATTATAAACAATTATCTTGTAAATGAAATTTTTAAAGCATTCTGAATGTAAAAATAAAGAAAAAAGTGTGCAAGACAATAAGAAACACTACCTGCCAAAAAAAAAAGTAAAGTTTTGTTGAAATCGGTTGAAAAATGTAGGAAATCCGATCCCATATATAAACGAACACACACACACACACAAACAACTTGGGTTTTATAATAAGTATAAAATGATATGAGTTGTTCCCCTTTCTTTCTCGTGATGCCTCTTAATCGTGTTTTCAAAATGATTTCGTGCAAAAACAATTGTGTTTTTCCAATTTTTGGTGCTGTCAGAACCACCGCAAGGTAATTTTACGTAGTCCTGTGAAGTTTTGTTGAAATCGGTTGAAAAATGTAGGAAATCCGATCCAATATAGAAACGTACACACACACACACACACACACAACCTGGGTTTTATAATAAGTATGATATATATATGCTGAGTGGTTAGAACATTCATATTCTGACCATGAGACCCAGTCTCAGATTTCACCATTTTTGATTTGTCAAGAAGGTGACTTTCTGATGTTATCAGAATAGAGGGTTTGATATTTGGTGCCTGAAAACCATACCACGGGTTGACCCAAGCCTTGTGAGTGAAATTGGGTAGACGGAACCCTTGTTGGCCATCAATAGCTCTGCTAGCAAGAAGTTGCAAGTCATCATCATGGCTGATGGCTTGAGCCTGCTGACCTTGTTCAAATTGTTGATCATGCTAGATAACATGCAATAGCATGTTATCTAGCATGATCTGTAACTAGCGTGATCTGTAACTGAAACTGTAACTATAGTTTGCTCAGCATAGTTGCAGTATAAACCATAGATGTGCCTAAGCAAGAATCTGCAATAGGGATTGGCTAGCTGCCCTAGTAGACGGGTATCCTTGAATACAAGTGACCAGCTATATATGCCCATAAAACACAAACATATATATATATCAAATATATAAGGTCAAAATGGCCAAGGGAAGTCAGAGTAGCATGAATCTTCCCATCTGCTATCTTAAAAACAACTTAAAAGAGGCCATTTGACCAACACAAGAACTGACCAAAATTAAAAATAAAAAACAAATGAAACTACAGATAAAGTTCATTTTCTTCAGAACTAAGAAGCAGATTTTTTTTTCCTCCTGATGATGGCCATATTGGCCAAAACTAGTCAAGGAATCTAATTGAAATAATAAAACAAAAATATTAATATGCAACCCAGTGTGTCTGGAAATTTTAATTTTTTAATTTCTCAATATTTTTATTGTACAAAACATATGTATATATATATATATATATATATATATATATAGATAGATAGATAGATAGATAGAGAGAGAGAGAGAGAGAGAGAGAGAGAGAGAGGAGGAGAAAAAATAAAGAGGGAGAAATATATAAATAAAATTAAATGTTCACATATTGTCTCTACTCTGATTTTGAGGAGAAGGAGATGGCAAATAATAACTTTCCACACGAAAGAAAGTTAATAACTCCAAATAGCCTCTCAAGAAACCAGAAGAAATGAGCCCATGGAGTAATATCCCTGCATGAGAGAATTTCATTGGCTGATGGCAGAATGGCCAAAACACTTATAAGGCCATGAAACCAAAAAAAACAAAAAAACAAGCAGACCCAATAGAATACATAGCTTACAGTCACCAAGATGAAAGCTTTTATTTGTTCAATACAAGGAAAGTTACCTGTTGGAAAGAGTCTGATGTTGAAAAACTCAAAACTTTTAATGAAATCTGGAAAACATGATTACACGACTCACAACTTGTCTCAATGCATTTGAAGAATATATATTAGGAATTATATATAAATATAAATTAAATGCATATATATATATATATATATATATATATATATATATATATATATATATATATATATATAAATAAAAATACAAAAAAGGTTTGTCACTTAGCTGATTGACATTACTTTCAACATTATTTTCCAAATAAATTGTTTTGATTTATCAGGAAGTTTTTCAAAATTCATATTAACTGATTTTTAATTTTTTAAATCTCACATTTTATTGAGTCAATTTCAACTCACTCAAGGCGACATCATAGAAATGGTCAAAGTGAAATTTTTATGTGTGTGCATATGTGTGTTTGTGTGTGTGTGCATGTGTGTTTTTTTAAACACACTTCAATATACAGTCCTCTATGGAGTTTAAATGATTTTTATTTTTTTAAATGCATCCTTGATAATGGCAATGAGAATAGTTGAATGCATCTGGATGTACAGAACTTTCAAACAGTTTTTACACATTTTATATCCAAAAAAGAAAACACTTATACAAATAAAAGAAAAATTAAAATACTTAATCGCATCTTTAATTAAACTTCTATAAACGAGAGATTGTTACCGTAAATATACTGTTTAATAAATAAATTATGTGTTGCCAATAAAAATAATGTTTAAGTGATATGTATATATTTGTGTATTTAGGCAACAGATTCTCTTTTAGGCATGTCTGATTAAATAAATTACAAACATTATATCTGCTTATTTTTAGCATAATCTGTTCATATTCATGAATATTTTCCATGTATTACAATCAAATGATTCAATGCACTGTAACAGTGAAAATAACTTTTATTTCCCAAGTATTTTCGATCTCTTTTTGAGATCATCGTCTTACCAGTTGCACATCTGATGATGATCTCAGAAAGTGATGGAAAGTACTTGGGAAACGGATTATGCTAAAAATAAGCAGACATAATGTTTGTAATTATGTAAATTGTTGCCATTTTATATTTTTAATTTTGTGCATATGTATTGTTTGTTTTGGGTTTTGTCAACTGCTCAGTATAGTAGAATCAGTTGGACACCATCTGTGTGAAAAAGACCACATGATGCAATTCACTCTACCAGAAACTTGTGAACAGTATGCTGTACTGTTTGGCATTCACACCGGAAGCTCCAATATGAACATTTCAGAGTGTTGAGTCTAATGGTGATTACAAAGGTATGTCACTCTGAAAGTTCACTCTGATTGTTCTGATAAGAAAGAAACTTTGTTGGCTAGTGTCTTAGACTCAACACGGAGGCCTACGTCAAGTGCCTTGAGGAGTTAGTGCTGTTCTGAGTCAAGAGGGTATCTGCTGGAAGACCCTATGTCAGGCAACAGGACTCTGTAACATGGCACACAAGCAGGGAAACTTAGTCATGGCTGCCAGACAATTTCTGTAAGCACACCACACCTTACATCTGGCCAACTAACTTCCCAGACTGCAACACCATTGATTATTATGTATGGGTTGCAGTTGAGTGAGAAGCCAGCAAAACTGGAACAACAAAGATGAACTGATGGCAAGGATTATGGCAGCATTCACCATCTTAAGCAAGAAGACAGTCCAGAAGATTTGCAGGAGATTCAAAAGTCATCTGGAGGCCTTGGTTGAATTCAATGGTGATTTTATTGAATAAGTTTATTCATTTAGTATTTCAACATATTTTTGTGTAATATTGTTGAATATATCTGTTAAAATGAGATGTCAGTATTATTTTCATTTTTGCATAATTTAAATGACAATTTCTCCATCGCACTTTTGTATACACAAACATATATATATATATATATATATATATATATATATATATAACACTGATTGATGAGATGCATAATTTTCATCAGATCTGGGTAAATGACAAAAACAGCCAGTCAAAAGAAGCCAACTACAAATGGTGTAAGAGCAAGAGTACAATGTGTACTCAGACAAATGAAAGAGAGTTGGTGGTCAACGAAGGCTGCACAACTCCAAATGGTTGCTGACAAAAAGGACTCAGAAGTTTTTATGATGGTTTAAAAGCAATGTATGTTCCCCAAAAGCACGATGTCTCTTCAGTTCTAGCCAATGACGGGGATACTCTCCTAACTGATAAAAAAGCCATACTTCAGCACTGGAGAGATCAGTATGAAACTGTGCTAAAGACCACCTCAGTCACAGGTGATAAGGCTCTGTCCGCTGTAACACAATATTCTTGGAATTCCTGAGTTATCTCTGGAACCCACTTTTCTGGAAGTACAAGCTTCTATCAAGCAGATATCATCAGGAAAAGCTCCTGGTGAGGATGCTATCCCTGTTGAAATCTACAAATATGGAGGGCATACACTTTCTAAGCTACTGCACAATTTGTTCATTCAAATTTGGAAATCAAGCCACATTCCTCAGGACTTTGAAAATGCCTCTGTGCAACACCTTTAAAAGAAAAAAGGTCTTAAAACATTATGCGATAACTATAGGAGCATCTCACTTTTGTCTATCTGCCAAAAAATTTTGGCAAGGCTCATCCTCAACAGAATTATAAAACACATTGTTGACGCCATCTACCTTGAATCTCAGTGCTGATTTCACTTCAGTCATGGCACTATCAACATGATTTTTTCCCTATGACAGATTGCAGAGGAGGTTTGTGAGCAAAACAAGGAGCTATTTATGGTATTTGTGGCCTATACTAAGGCCTTTGATACTGTAAACAGAGAAACACTCTGGAAAGTTCTGAAAAACTTGGTATTCCTAAAAATATATTGAGTGTCATTTCATTTCATGTTGATATGCAAGCTAGTGTTATATCTGATGGTCAGTGTTCTGATCCATTTGATGTTACTAATGGAACTAAGTAAGTCTGTGTCATGGCACCTGTTTTGTTTGCACTGTTCTTCTCGGTGATGCTGAGGTATGCTTTACGGGATACAAAAACTGGTGTTAAATTTCATTTTCGAACTAATGGAAGACTGTTTAACCATCAGCAGTTTAAGTTCAAAACACTTCTATGTACCAGTATTATACATGATCTACTTTTCGCAGACAACGTTGCCCTTGTAACTAACTCTTTAAAGGAAGCTCAAGATTTACTCGAGTTTTCTGCAGCATGCAAAGCATTCGGACTTACCATCAGCATCAAGAAAACTGAAGTTATTCATCAACCTTGCATGACACTGAAGCAAATTAAAGTTTTAAAACAGAGACCCCTGTTTGTTAGTTTCGGGAGGTCCCTTTGCAAGTTGATGGAAAGAATCTCAAGTATGTGGAATCTTTCAAATACCTCGGGAATATGGTAAATTCAAGTGCATCACTTGATGACGAGATTGTTAATTGCATTGCAAAAGCCAGCACTTCCTTTGGTTGGCTGCATTACAGGTTGTAAGATGAAAGAGGAATAAAGCTCTGCACTAAAATCCAGGCATAGAAAGCTGTCATTTTGTCAACTCTTTTGTATGGCTCTGAAACTTGGACACCTTATAGATGGCACATTAAACGATTAGATGTCTTCCATAAAGGTTGTTTCTGTAAAATCTGTGGCCTAATATTTGATGATCGAGTGTCAATGTTGACCTTTTAGAGAAATATACTTTCATAATTTAATTACAACTATGTTGTGCTGGCCATGTAGCAAGGATAAGTGATGATTGTATACCAAAAGTTCTTTTTTTACAGTGAACTCCATAGTCGTCATAGAAATGTTCGTAGACCTTTTCTCAGATATAAAGATAAACTGAAAACCAACCTTTCTTGGATCAACATTCCATTCAAGAACTTTGAAGAGGTAGCTAAGGAGAGATCAGAGCATCGTTCCAGCTGCCATTCAAGAAGAAGTAATGAAGCAGTCGACTACAGGTAACTATAGGCATGCAGGTAATTAGTTTGTAGTCGTCGGAACCTCATACGTCAAACTCAACGTGAGAGTCCATCTTATATATATATATATATATATATATATATATATGAACTCCATAGTCGTCATAGAAATGTTGGTAGACCTTGGCTCAGATATAAAGATAAACTGAAAACCAACCTTTCTTGAATCAACATTCCATTCAAGAACTTTGAAGAGGTAGCTAAGGAGAGATCAGAGTATCGTTCTAGCTGCCATTCAGGAATAATACACCATCAAGTAGTAAGCATCAGTCAACTGCGTGAAACACGAAAGCAAAATAAGACAGCTAACAGTGTTCCTGCTGCACTTGGATACAATACATTCTCCTGTACTGTTTGTCGCCTTTTGTGCAATTCTCAAGCCTGTCTCAAAAGTCATGCTAATCATAGACATGCAGATAATTAGTTTGTAGTCGTCGGAATGTCATGTGTCAAACTTGATGGGAGAGTCCATCATATATATATAAAGGTTAATGGTCAGAGGTGAATCAGACCAGAAGACAGTAGTATTAAATAGTGCTCAATATACATGAGAAAAAATAAGTAAAAATAAAAATAACATGTAGAGCTTTTAACTTTAAAAATCAGTAGGTCAATTAAAATATACAACCGTGGTTTTGACCGAAGGCCCTTTCAAACACAAATGGTACATTTAGTCTAATAAAAGGTTTAAAAGCTAAACCCAATCATAAGATAGAAAAACCCTTTATGAAGTCATCAAAAAAACAAATCGTAGTTCAGTGTGACATGTTTATGTACGAAACAGCCCTTTAGAAAAAAAAAATTCTTTAGATACTTAACAACGTATGATGGTGCCAACAGCTATCTGTCGCTGTGACGGACCAGACGATGTGCGTGTATGAATGCCATCATTTGCTTTGAAATGGACACCC